TTTGTATATATGTGGTTGGCAAATATTTTCCCCCAGTCTGTAGCTTATCTTTTTATCCTCTTAAACTGGATCTTTTGAAGAGGCAAAAATTTTAATTTTGATGTGGTTCAAATTTATCTCTTTTACCTTTTATATTTCATGCTATTGGTGTCAAGTCTAGCCCTAGATTCTGGAGTACTTTTTCTTTTTTTTCTTGAAAGTTTTTTTTTTTTTTTAAAGATTAATTTATTTATACAAGCACTGGGTACAGTCAGAAGCGCGGGAGGGCGAGAGAATTCACCAGAGCCAGAGAGGGGAGCAGAACAGGCAGAATGACGAAATACACTGCTGAGGGGAGCAGCAGGCGGCAGGAGAGGTCTGTGCGCCATGTGGGACCCTCACTGGTGGCCGGGGATCTAACCGGCGCTGCAGAGGCTGCAGGCAGCCTCGCAACCCAGCGCTCAACCGCTGCGCCACCGGGGAGGCCCTTGAAAGTTTTATAGCTTTACATTTAAAGTCTGGATTCCATTGTGATTTTATTAACTGTGTAAGCTAAGAGATTCTCCCCCACCAATCCCTCCCATGGAACTCCAAATTAGCTTGGCACCATTTGTCAAAAAGGCTATCTTTTTTCCTTGAATTGCTTTTGCACCCTAGACAAAAATCAGCTGGCCACATTTTTGAATAGTATTATATGCCAGACCCTCCAAGGATATCTTTATATGAATTCTTTTATGTTCTTCCAAACAACCTGCAAAATAATTATTGTTTCCATATTTTTATAGTTAAATAAGTTGCCCAAGGGCACTCAACCAGAGTTGGGTTTCAGCTCTCTTCCTGTATTTTTTTTCCATTGCATCTGCTTCTTACTTATCCAGCCAACATTTATTTAGACTCTGTTGTATGCCAAGCACTGTGCTGAACTCGAGAAACAAAAATTAACAAGACTTCCTAGAATGCTTCACAGAGGAAGAAACAAAACTAGACCCTGAGGTCTAGTTTCTTTGCAAAGAAAAGAGAGGTAAGGAGAACATTCTAGGTGTGAAAAAGGCAAGGGGTGTGGAATAGCTTCATATATTCAGGAAGAATCAAGTTTTTTTTGTTATGGTTAAGAACAGAGAGTGGGAGGAAACGGTCTCTTGTTAGATTTAAGATAGGTGAGATTAGGAAGAAACTTTCTTATTAGATTTAAGATAGCTGGGGCTGTCTCAATGGAAATGAACAGCAGGAAGTTGGCTATGTGAGTCTGGAGCTCAGGAGAGAAATTTGGTGGGACATTAAGCTTTGGGAGCTGTCATAGCACAGGTGACATTGAACTGCCAGAAACTTATTAGAGAGACAAGGAAAGGGGGCAAGAGAACATTTTAAACATTTGCACATTTAAGTGATGAAAGAACTGAGAATGAATGGTTAAAGAAGTAGGAGATAGGAGAGTGGTATTACAAGAATGAATACCAGTTAGAAATTCTGATTTTTGCTTTACTGTTATGGGTAACACCTAGCACAAAAAAGATCTTAAAGACATGATGGTTTCACAAAACTATTTTTAAAATATTTCAACTAGAGTGTTCAACAAATTCAATAATTAAGAAGTTAAATGTAAATATGTTAGCTGCTAAAATGGAGTTTTATAATCATGTAGTTTGATAATGTTGAATCAATATAATTTTCATCAATATAATTTTCCTTCTATATAGGTCTATATATACACATATAAAGACAATTATGTGTCTAGGTATAAACATAAAGACATTTGCCTACATATACACGTGTAAAGACACACACATACATATAAATTGCAGGAAAATTCAATAGGTTGGGTCTTTAGTAAGAAAGCAAAGTAAGTATATAAGGCTATCCTTCCATTTATTGGTAGAAAATTATTTTCATCTGAATTTCCCACAAGTAATTTAGATTTTCACTTTTGAACTTGAGAATTGGTAAAACCACCCATATTACAAAAACAGTCTCCTCTCTTACATTGTAGTACCCTGATATACATAGAACACTACTGTAGTGTGTGGAAAGTGTCTCCCCTAAATTTATACCCACTTTTGGAAATACAGTCTTTGCAGCTGTAATTAGTTAAGGATCTTGAGAGGAAATCATCGGGAGTTAGGATGGACTTTAAATCTATTTTCTGGTATCTTTGTCAGAGAAAGGAGGGAGATTTAGACACAAGGAGATACACAGAGAAGGAGGCAATGTGCTGATGGAGAATGTGATTAGAGTCTTGTGTTGCAAGAGAAGGAACACATGGATTGCTGACAATCAAAAGATTTCATTTCTCCAGAGACTTCAAAGCAATCAACACTGCTGACACCTTGATCTCAGATGTCCAGCCTTCAGAGCTTGAGAGAATGCACTGCTGTTGTTTTAAGCCACCTGCTTTGTGCTAATTTTTTTTTTTCTTTAAAGATTTATTTATACAAGCACTGGGTACAGTCAGAAGCACGGGAGGGTGAGAGAATTCACCCGAGCCAGAGCAGGGAAAAGAATAGGCAGACTGATGAAATACACTGCTGAAGGTAGCAGGGGGCAAGGCAGGAGAGGTCTGCGCCCGTGTGGGACCCTCGCCGGTGGCCGGGGATTGAACCACTGCTGCAGAGGCTGCGGCAGCTTCGCAACCCAGTGCTCAACTGCTGCACCACCAGGGGAGGCCCGTGCTAATTTCTTACAGCAGCCCTAGGGTACTCATACAGATCCTATTCCTCACCATCTTCCCAGGCCCCAAAGGTACCATTATATAAATAACTTCTTATTTTTTAAAAAACATAGATTTTTACCATTTACCATGTGGAGAGGACAATATCCACAAAGATATGCTGAGCTGGGTTTCCTGAGGCTCACAACAGCTCTAAACAAAAACTCATTTGACTTAAATTGCCAATTATTTAATTTTGTGTTGACTGTTGACTATCAGCTATCCTTGATCCTCTTCCAATTAATGTTGATTAGTGTAAGCTCATTTAGTTGGTTAATATTTATTTCCTAAAAGGAAATGCATCTTGAAGGATATGCCTGGGAGAAGGGAGCTGAGATCCAGGTTACTGATGGTTGTTGCCTTCAAACCTATCAGTGTTTCCATTATTAAAATCCTGTCTCTTTGAAGTTATTTACTTTGCTAATGATAACTTACAAGAAGGAAGTCTGGAAAATTAATTGCTGATAAAAGCTGATAAGTGCTGATAACTGTCTAATGTAATAACCACAATGAAAATATTAAATTATCCAATTCTCTGGTCTGGTTTTAACTATTGTAGATGTGGAGCAACAAATTGTCTTTAGAGTTCAGTTTTGAATTTTTGGCTGTTGGGTACCTTTCACAGCTTCAAAGTAGACCCAAATGGTGTGTTACACTCATCTAAAGATTTAATCTTTTTTTTTTTTGCTTTCACTGGATTAAGGCTCTATATATTTGTGGGTACCAAGTCTCCTAATTTTGAGAGGGTTTAAATTTCCATGTTTTTCCTAGTCTTAAAATATATTAAAGTGTTGCATCTATAATAAAAAATGTGCATATATAGGAGAGGTACAGTTCTAAAATGGGGATGGGAGGCTATGAATATCAAGGAGGAAGGAGTAGATATCAAAATGGACAAAGTCCTTACAATTTAGTAGGGGCTAGGGGCCTCCCTGGTGGTTCAGGAGTTAAGTCTCAGCACTATCAACCTATCGCCAGCCACTGTGGCATGAGTTCCATCCTGGCCAGGGAGCTACCCACATGTGCAGCAGACCTCTTCTGTCTCGCCCACTGTTCCCCTCAGCAGTTGTATTTCAGTAGACCTGCCTGTTCTGCTCCTCACTGTCTCTGGTGAATCCTCTCACCTGCCCCCCATCTGGCCTGTACCCCAGTTCCTGTATGCATAAATAAATAAATCTTTAAAAAAAAAAAGCACAATTCAATAGGGGATATAATGTTTTGCAGAAATTTTATACAAAACTGTATCTAAGGTTCAGAAGAAATTTGCAAAGAAATGTTTGGCTCTTAATTTAATCTGTGACTCCCTGTATGAATATATTGTGATTACTATGTAGTAATTTAAGGTCTAAATTAGAACCCTCCAAGTGACAAATGTTTTCATCCGGAGCAATGGCACCCAAATTACGTTGGAAACCTAAGCAAAATGAACTTGAAAAATTATATGCTTACTATTTAACTGCAGAAGTGAAAAGTGGTATGTCATCTTTGGATTTATTCTCATGTGATATAGTCACAAGTAAGTCAAAAGAAATAACTTATTTTTTTCAAAAATCTAGTCCTACTTTTGTTTATTTTAATTTTATTTATTTTTAAAAATTATTTATTTTTTACATCATTGTTATTTTTTAAACAATATATGCTTCCCCCCTCCCAGGTGTAGTCCCCAAATGAAATAACTTATTGAGCAGTTAGTGAAGCCAGCGTTTCCCATCAAACTCATTATTGCTTTAAAACCCAGGGTTGTGTCTTTCACTGGCCAGGGACTGTATTTAACCTTGGCTGGATGGCAGTTGAATGACCTTTTTGGGCTGACTGGGCACAAGAGATGTTCTCAGCGTGAGTTTCTCCGCAGTTCATTTCTTTGTAAGGTCATGGACTATCTCTTTGGACTTCTGAGTTTGAAATGCGCAATGTTACTCATCTTCACTATTTCAACTTTAGTAAGAAGCACATCATATAGATAGTCCATGATGGCTTTGCATGACTGAACCATTTTAGACTCTTACTATTCCCACCACTTGGAAGCAGAACACAGGGCACACTCATCCACAGAACTACGTGCAGAGAACAACCAGGTCATTAGATTTCTCGGTCCCTTCGTCGTTAGGTGACCATCAGCTAGGCCTGGCCAGCGCGCCCAATGCCCAAGGGCACTTTGCAGTCGCTGAATATTAACACCAACAGTTACGCCTTTCTCTGGACCAACCGTTGGAAGACCTGCACGCAGATGTCTGTTAATTTTCGGGGCCTGACTTCGTTTCCGAGGAATTTAACTCCACCTCTTTGGCCGCGAGGGTGAAACAACGCCCCCCTGCGCGCCCTTCACCCAGCCGCCTCCCACTTTCTCCAGTGGCTGAAGTTCTGACTTTTCCTAGACAGCTGGAGAAAGCCAGCTCGCAAAAGCAGAGCTATATTATCCACTTCCTCGCTCCGGTGGGACGCTAGAGAGGAAATCACACTTTGTAACTGGCTCTCCCGGGGGAGAGGACAGCGCAGCCCTGAGGTCTTGGGCGCGCGCCCGCCTGGCTGCAGGTTTGACTGACGCGGACAGGCCGAGGGCGCAGGGAGGCGTGGCGGGGGCCGTGGGCCGAGCCTGAGACAAAGGGACTTGGGCTGCCACGCCGAGCAGTGAAGGGCATTCTGTGAGGTCCTTTCCGCAAGTCCGGGGAGGGAGCTGGCGGAGCGGGGCGGGGCGGGGCCGGGGCCTGGCGTGGAGGGGCGCCGGGTGGGGTGGGGTGGGGGCTGCGCGGTCACCAGGCCCTGCAGGCGCGGGGTTGGCGCCTTTTCTCCGCGTCGGAGGCGCCGAGCCCGGGGTCGGCCAGCCCGGTGTCCTCTCGCGGGGCTCCGCCCCGGCCCGCGGGCCTCCCAGCCTAGGTGAGTCGGGGCGCTGGCGGTGGGGACGCTGGGGGCGCTGCGGGGGAGGGGCGCGGCCCCCCACAGGGAAGCCCTGCTGTCTGGGAGCGGAAGGGGGCGGGGTCGGCAGTGATCCGCGCTGGGGTGCCCCGGGGCACCCGCAGACTGTGCACTGCGGCGGGGGGCGGGGGAGGGAAAGGGTTGGGGGGGGAGCCACCCCTTTCTCGCCTCTTGCAGCAGCGACGTGGAAGGGAGTGGCCGGGTGGATTCGGGAACCGTGTCCCAGCACAGCCCTGGGGACGAGGCCTGCAGCCCTCCGGGTGAAGGTTTTGAAACTTTTGGGGGCGGGAGTTGTACTGGGTCGGCTCGGCCTGCAAGATGGGGAGCAGGCAGTCCTGGAGGACTCTCTGCAGGGGGTGCACCCAGGTGGTAAATGGACGCCTCTTAATTGTGTTTGAACCTTGAGGGGGTGCGGGGTGGTTGGCCAACCAGGGACGTAGGAGATGGCGACCCAAAGGTGTGAGTGCAAGTCAGGGCTGCTGGGGGTGGGGCAGGAGGCTTGATGGTCCTGGGCGCAGATTGGGGCCCGGGCTGGTGACGGGGCTGACAGCAAAGGGGGCAGAGCTTGCAGCTTTTTGCAGTGTCGACCCATTGGCTTCGGGGACAGTTATAAATAGCGGTCCCGGGAAGATGGCAGAGTGTCAGGTCAGGTTTTTATAGGGTGTTGTGCCTTTTGTTGGCATGCTGGGCTTTAACATGTGAGTTTACTGTTGCAAGCGTCCTTTATTTGCCCCATGGCAAATGAAGTCTTGTAGGATGGACTCTGGAAGGGTGGAAATGTCAAGAGCGCTTGGGCTGCATACCTTTGCTGATAGGATCAGTCTTCCACAAGGCTGCAAAGGCATTTCATTTTCAAAGGAAATTTCCCGAAACTGCTGGAGGAAGGTGTTAAGTAGATAGATACCCAGGATTTGTTGTAGGTTACCAGCCACAGGTGAACATTCAGTCAAAAAACTTGTTTTCTGCTGTTGTGTGCAAAGCCCAGAGTTAATACCAAATGAGTAATACTGATAAAGATATTGTGTTCACTTAATCCTTACAACCCTATAAAGTAGATGGAATTATGAAGATTAGAGAGTCAGGTCTAGGGAAGTGAAATGACTGATTTTTGAAGTCATACAATAATTTGCAGAGTGGGGGTCTCCAATCACAGTTCTTCCTTTGGGCCTCTGCTGGCCCCTCTAGGTCAGGTGCTTATCCTCCAAGCTTTTACTATTTGGGGGGAGAGTTACCCAAACAACTTCTATTAATCTGCTGTATTAAGAAAATCTCTCTTTCAGTTTTGAATTGTAAAATTTCTCTCCTTTGCTTCAAAGCCATAGAAGCAGATGGAATAATAATAAAACAGCAGAGAACTTTAAATTGAAGATAGGGGAAAATGTCGCAATTAATATGAACTGCTGTCTTTGATGTAAATAAGTACAAGCCTGTGATAAGATGTTTCAAATATTCACTGACTATCTGTCAGGGTCATTTGTATTTGATTTAGGGTGATTGATAGGGATTGTTCTTGGGAATAAACTTTGTCCTGATTACTGCCTTGTGTGTTATAATCAGTGGAACATTTGGTAGAAATTGGCCTCAAGGCTTTGGCCTAGAAATTGTTCAATGTAAAATTACCATTTTACAAGTAGGCAAGGCAAAATTTCCAGACTACAGGCCACGAAATAGTATTTCAACTTTTAAAAGAATGCAAGATTTCGTTAAATCATAAAATTTCTAGGGGCTAATGGGCACGCTCCAAACCACTTTCTCTATGCTCCTTTTATAGATGAGCAGACTGGACAGAGAGATCCAGGTCAAACAGTGAGTGAGTTGCAAACTTAGACAATACATGGGCTCCATTATGTCTAGCTTTGTTTTTGCTGAAGAGGTCTGGGTAAGCCTTGTCAGTCCTGTGAGAATGATGGTTTTGGGGAGTTGGGATCATTTAAGAAGAGAAACTAGGGAAAGTGAAGGAAGTTGTGCTAGGACAAGGTCATACATAATGGGAGAAAAGATCCCCCACAAGATCAGAATTATCTTTTATTTTCTTGTGCATTTCCCTTGGTTCTTGGTGTAGAGTCAGTGAATGATTTGAATGTGTAGCTGAATTCTGAGCTCATTTGCTGTCCTTTTTTTAAAGATTTATATTTATTTATTTATTTATGCATATGGGAGCTGGGATGTAGGCCAGAAATGGGGGGTGGGAGGCAGTGAGAGGATTCACCAGAGGCAGAGTGGGGAGCAGAATAGGCAGATTTGCTGAAATACACTGCTAAGGGGAGCAGTAGGTGAGACAGGTCTGCTGTGCCGGGCCAGGATCAAACTCAGGCCATAGCGGTGATAGCCCTGAGACTTAACCCCTCGGGCACCAGGGAGGCCCCTGCTGTCTGTTCTTAGCCATGAATAATTCTTGAAGTGCCCATGACTGAATGAGGAGACTATTTACGGGACTCAGGGACTCTTTAGTTCTGAAACTAAGTGACATATGTGGAAACATTTTGAGAAGGTAAAACCTATTTAAGTACAAAAAGCTATTCACATACATTTTGATTGCATGCTCAAGCACTTATGCTTGGTGGCTGTGCATTCCATACATACATGGGAATTGCCATTAAAGGCAATGGAGGTAGCCACTGAAGCCTCAATAACAGTGAAGGTCAATGACAGGTCTCCCAGTCTAGTTAGAGCTGACAAAAAAATGACCACTGTGAGAACCACTCACAGATGAGTCCCTAGTTATTCCCACATCTGTAAGCACAAATCTGTGTGATTAAAATAACCATGGAATTTTTCTTTCTTATTGGAGTGACATTGCATACATGTTTAATTTTTTTGAGATGTGCATTTAGCAAATACTGCTTTCCTACTGACTCAGTCTCAGTTCATGGGGTTTCACTGCATGGGCACCTGGCTGTCCTGAATAGGATTTCAGTGTTTTCTGGACAACATGGCGACTAAATAGGTTGCTACTGTATTATACAGTATCTTATACAGTATATAATATATTGTATATTATAGTATATATAGTATATAATATATGTTATACTATAGTACATAATATAAAATATACAGTGTTTTAGCTAATTTAAAGGAAATTCAAGGATAATGTTGATTATATGCAATTATTGCTGCATGTGCTGAATTAGAGGATAACTTTCATGTAACATGTGACTAGACTGTATAGCAAATGCAATTTTGTCCAGCTGTATTAAGCATCTATTAGACTTATGTGACCTAGGTTTGGAATTGAATATTGAGTTTATAACTGCAACTTAAGTGGGAAAATGGATCCCAAATTTTAAATATTTGAACTAGAAACAAACTCTGTGAAGCATCTTATGTAACTTGACTTGACAACTAAATTCATTGTAGGTGTCTGCATAAAATGATCATATTCCAGGCTTTTTGGATTAGTGTTTTTCTTAATGTTTTTGATGTTCAAAAAACAATATATGTTTCTTTCAGGACATACATATTTTATTTTCTTTCCTCTTAGTGATTTACCTTCACGGAAATTGGGGGATTCAGAAAATTGGGAGCTCTTATGAACATGGCCAACCTACTGAGAACAGCGGTGACTGGCTGTTCATGTCCTTTGCTTAACAATTTGGGGTCCTGTAAGGTTTTCCCTGGGAAGAAGGAGTTTTTACGAAAACTTCATACTCATCAGGTGCTGTGGTCTGAAGCCTCTGCAAAACCAGGTAAAGTCTCAGTGTGTGTAAATCTAACCTTCACGTTATAGGTAAGAATGGGTCTCCTGATAAAAGGAAAAGTCATACAGATTGACAGCCTGGTGCTTGTGAGTGATCATTGTCAATAAAAAAACATATGAGTGCTTTGCCAGATTTTCCATATATAGTAAATTCTGGAAAAAAAGGAAAGGTAGTAGAAAAAGAAAAATGATAAACTAGTTGAGTTGTACTATTTTTCCTAGCAGTTCTTCCTATTTCCTAGTCAGTATTGGGGAATTATACTAGATATGTTTCATCTGTGCTCATGAATTTGAAACTAAATGTATTAACTCATCTGCATTAATACTTCTCTGTTTAGTTAATGGCAACTTCATCTCATTTACTCAGAAGCCATTCTAGATCTTTGTGGGAGGTACAGATCAGCTCTACCTTGTATCTAGAATCTGTGCTCATCATCACGGCTGGTGTCATTCTGTCCAAACCACCATCATCTGTCACCTGGACTATTGCACTAGTCTTCCCAATGGTCTCTATGCTTTCTACCTTGCCCCTCTTACAGTCATGTACATGATAGTGAACATAATCCTTTCAATGAAGGAACCTCCTTTTTTTTTTTTAAAGATTTATTTATTTATGCATATAAGAGCTGGGGTATAGGCCAGAGATGCGGCGGGTGAGAGGACCCACCAGAGTCCCCCACCAGAGTGGGGAACAGAACAGGCAGATTGACCAAAGTACACTGCTGAGGGGAGCAGCAGGTGAGACAGGAGAGGTCTGCTGCTCCATGTGGGTTGCTCCCGGGCCCACCGGGGATCGAACTTGTGTTGCAGAGGCTGCGGATTGCTTCATAGTGCTGTGCCTAATCCTTTGTGCCACCTGGGAGGCCCAAGGATCCTCCTCTTGCCCAAAGACTGTCCTAGCATGCTCTCTATACTTACTGGCCAGGACTCTGCCAAGTGCCATATATAGCTGTAAGGAAGGCTCAGATATTTAGTCTTTTTTCCAGAGGGCTTCTGTTATTAAGGCAGACGAATAGGATGGATATTTGGGAGGCAACCAGAAATCTTTGCCACATAGAATAATGCCCTTCTTTTTCATTTAAGCTTGCAGGATAGTGTTTTTTTCCCCCTCCTCTATAAGATAAGGATTCTATTTTTCCCTTAACATAACCACAATGTAAGTATCACGTTGGAAATCCTGAACAGTAATTTCAGTCAGTATTCATTATTTTCTCAGTTTTTTTCTCTTTTCTTTTACAGTTCCCTTATTCAAATAAGGCTCCCAACAGGGTCTACATGGTATATTTGTTACTATGTCTTTAGATCTCTTTTGATCTTATGTCCCCCTCCTCTTGTTGCTTTTTAATTTGTTCATTAAAGAATTTTGTTATTGCCCTGGGAAATTTCTCACATTCTAGTTTAACTGACTGAATTCCCTTGATACTGTTTAACCAATTTCTTGGTATTGTTTAACCAGTTTCTCTTTCCCTTGTGTTTTCTGTAACTTTTAGCTAGACCTAGAGGCATGACAAAACTCAGGTTTGTACTTCTTGGCAAGAATACTTCCTAGGTGGTGCTATGGAATATCTGTGACATTACATCAGGAAGATTAGTCACTGAGTTTAGGTGCTGTCATCTTGAGCCATCTGATGTATTGCCCATCTGCTTTTCATTTAACTTTGGTTGATGATCATTAAATGAATTCATGACTCTATCTCATCTTCATTTATTAGCTAGAATTTTTCTATGAGTGAAATTTTTCCTCTTGTTTAATTACCCTGAAATTGTACTGATGAGATGGGATGCTTGATCTTTTCCTATTATTTACTAAATTTGGTAATCATCAGTTGGCCTTATTTATTAGTTTTTCACTCCTGCTGTTATATATGTAACATATAGCACAAATGTAATTTACCTTTCTGAAGGCCATGTACGGAGATGACTAAAGTGCCTGTCACTAGGTTTATATCCACATTTGGTTGTGGCTATCAAAATGTTGAGTATAGGGTTGTTCTCCAGAGCAGTCAGTTACTTCTGTCTTCCTTGACCATGGGGATAGGGAGACCATAAACCTCAGAGCGTTAGTTGGAAGGGTGGACTTAGCATTTTAAGTGGTCTGTCAACCCATTTTTTCCCCATGAATAAACTCAGTTAGTCATATGCCTTTAGAACCATTTGATTAACTAAAATATTTAGCATTTTCAGAAGAGGGGGGTATAAAATTTTGCATTGCTTAACAACAAAAAAAGGCAAAGCATTATGGTTATGAACCAGGAACATCATTTTGAAAAGTCAGTTGTATGTGTAGTGTATTTTAAACAGACTGCCCATTTCTATTTTCTGAATTCTGTTATTAAAAATCATTGTTTTCTGTCATTTTTAAACCTTTGTAGGAATTCCATATAAGCAATTGACTGTTGGCGTTCCCAAGGAGATTTTCCAAAATGAGAAGCGAGTGGCGCTGTCACCTGCTGGTGTTCAGGCCTTGGTCAAGCAGGGTTTTAATGTTGTTGTGGAATCAGGCGCTGGAGAAGCTTCCAAATTCTCAGATGATCACTACAGAGCAGCTGGTGCCCAAATCCAAGGGGCAAAGGAAGTGCTGGCTTCTGATTTGGTGGTCAAAGTAATTATTTCTTTTTCCCTCTCCCGTTTGTGGCATGCTGATTTTTTGAAATCTGTTCATCAAAAAGTTCAATTACTTTCTCTATTATAACTTTCCATTATTTTCTAACAATGCCTTTGTCTGAAAGAATTGGTTGCGTGTTGTGACTCTAGTTCATGCTCCACTAGAACTTTGATCAGGCAATGTGATCTGTGTTTTCCTATGATGAGAAAAAGTGGTCTTTGTTTTTATATGTGCCTTGTGGAAATTCTCTTTTAACTGCGTAGGAAATAATTGCTCTACATGATTCATAGATACCTTAAGTGCCCACAGGTAAGTAGTTAACTGCTACTAAAAGAAAGAATGGTATGGAGCTCCTCCTGGTACTGAATGTACGGTACTTTTCTAGATACTTAGAAGAAATGATGACTTAACTGACATGGTACTATTTTTAGGAAGGGAGGGATTCTTCTGGAGAAAGCAGTCTGGGAGTAAGTAGTGAGTAGCCTTATGTTAATATAGTGTCTTAAGATAATATAGAAATCTTTGTGTTAAAGGACTTTAGAAAAAATTTGAAGTTAAAAATTACATGGGAAAAGGAAGAGTGATTATATCTGCAATTACAAATAATTACTAGAGTTGAGGGTTAACTTAAGTCTTAAGCTTTAACAAACAAAGTAAACAAAGAAGTAAGGATTTCATAAGCAAGATTGTCACTACTCACTTTTTCAGATCAGTTTTTTTTCTGAGTTGATTTCTAAGGGGGTATCAATCATATATATTTTAAAATATAAGGTCTACTGAATGACTTATCAGGGTCTTAAATAATGTGTTTTTTTTTCCCCCAGAACATACAGAACTCTTTTTTGGGTTTGGAAAATTAATAGTAAAATTTATGACGTGAAATAAATTGTAATTCAGCTAAAATTTTTAAAGTGTTTCGATATACACATAGATAATTGGTAATATAATTTGGCATCGTAAGAAAGCTTAGTGGACACAGAGAAATAAATATAATTCGTTTCAGTGTCCTAGGGATCAAACTTTTTGAGATCCGCAATAAGAGGTTCATAGGGTACGCATAAGTTTTGGAAATGCTCTGTATTCCTTTTAGAGAGTCACAGTGTATTGAGAATGTTAAAGGTGCTCAGAGGATTCTATAATATAGAAACTATTTACTTACGTGAATAAGCTACTTCTCTTTGGACCCTCTCTTTTGAACCAAGTCTCTTACTATGCCAAAGATGTAATGATCCAATAAACACACTCAGGGAAGTGTTCAGTTGGCTTAACTCACTCATATGGCTGTGGTATCATGGGAGCATTTGAGAGGGGCCAAAAGAATCCTTTCAAAGCTATCCTTTAATTTTTATTAAATCTCCATCATGGATTCTCATTGAGGAAAAATAGACCTGTTCGGGGAGTCTTAAAATTTCAGAACCTAAAATCACATGCTTTCCCAGATCAACAATTGAAATGAGGGGCCTCCCCAGTGGCGCGGCGGTTGAGCGCTGGGTTGCGAAGCTGTCCGCAGCCTCTGAGCGCGGGTTCCATCCCGGCCGCTGGTGAGGGTCCCACATGGCGCAGACCTCTCCTGCTGCGCCTGCTGCTCCCCTCAGCAGTGTATTTCATCAGTCTGCCTATTCTGTTCCCCGCTCTGGCTCTGGTGAATTCTCTCACCCCCCGCGCATCCGGCCTGTACCCCAGTTCTTGTATGAATAAATCTTAAAAAAAAAAGCTAAAAAAAAAACCCCACAAAAAAAAAAATTGAAATGAGAATGACAGATAAAGCAAGGTGTCTTGTAGGCAAATTGAGATGAAATGCTGTGAAATGAAAAGTATTGACTTGGTATTTGTATTTCCTTCTTAAAAGTTAGTCCCAGTGCTGTGTTTTTCAGTGCTTAAATGTGCTTGGCTAAAAGTACTTGTTGCAAACCAGGAGGCAATAAGATGATATGCTTTAATTGAAGATTGATTTTAAACTTGGACATAAACACATTTTAAAACATTTTAACAATGGAATTTATAAAATTTGGCTTGAACACATGGACATTTGAAACATTCAAGCACTTGGAGTGTATGTTCATTGACTTATTTGGCACTTATTTTTCTATATCTTTTAAAAAATTGAAGTAACTTTGATGCTAGCATTACATACAATTTCAGGTGTATGTGATACTTCTTAGAAGATGCTTCTTAGAAGAAAATTAGGCTTAAACCTAATTCAGGAGGGCTACTATTTGTTGTGTTCATTTAAGTATCCATTTGGAGTATTAAGGTAATGTAAATCTACACATTCCATAGAGATTTTAGTATACACAGTTTTTGTTTTGTTTTTTACTTTCCTGTGTTTCTTTCCTTTTTTTTTTTTTAACATCGTTGTTCGTTTTTAAACAATATTTGCTTCCCCCCACCTCCTCAGGTATAGTCTCCATGAAATTTCCTTCCCCAGTGCACCCGTGCACCATCACCTCAGTCCCCTGTGCTCCTCCCTCCCCCCTCTTATCTCTCTCCCTCCTCCTCCTCCCCTGCAGGATGTCTCTGATTTTTTTTTTAAAGCTAGTTGACCCTTCTCATCTCACCCCTCTTACTACACTGAAGTATTTTTTATTAAAGATTTATTTATTTTTATTTATTTATACAAGCACTGGGTACAGTCAGAAGCACGGGAGGGTGGAGAATTCACCAGAGACAGAGTGGGGAACAGAACAGGCAGACTGACAAAATACACCACTGAGGGAAGCAGCGGGCACAGCAGGAGAGGTCTGCGTGCCATGTGGGACCCTCGCTGGCGGCCGGGGATCCAACCGGCGCTGCAGAGGCTGTGGGCAGCTTCGAAGCCCAGTGCTCAATCACTGCGCCACCAGGGGAGGCCCTGTCTCTGATTTATAATTGTTTTTGCTTTGTTGTGTTTTGTACTGTTATTTTTTTTTTTTTACATTGATGTCTTATTTGGTTCCCCTATATTCCTGCTATAAGTGAAACCATCCTATATTTTTCTTTTTCCTTCTGGCTTATTTTACTGAGCATAATTCCTTCTAGCTCCATCCATGTTGCTGCAAATGGCATGAGTTTATCTTTTTTGATTGCTGAATAATAGTCCATTGTGTATATGTACCACATCTTCTGATCCAGTCATCTATTTTTGGACATTTGGGTTGTTTCCAGTTTTTACCTATTGCAAATAGAGCTGCAATAAACATAGGGGTGCAGGTGTTCTTTTGAATCAATGTTTATGTGACCTTTGGGTAGATCTCTTGGAGTAGAATTGCTGGGTCATATGGTAGCTCCATTTTCAGTAGACTGAGGAACCTCCAGACAGCTTTTCATAGTGGTTGGACCAGTTTGCGCTCCCACCAGTAATGTAGGAGAGTTCCTTTTTCACTATATCCTCGCCAGCATTTTACACAGTTTTTTAACTCCTTGTACCTCCAATGTTTGTGCTTGCCAAAATCAACAAGAATTGGATCTTTGAACATGCAACAAAAACTTGTCTATTTGTATTAATTTCTTTTAATTGTACTATAGTTACAAGTTTTGGGACAAGTCTGTTGTAGAGTAATATATTTTTTCCACTACTCTACAGTTAATTGCAAACCTGTCCCAACACTGTTTCTTAGGGGTGTGTACTCTTTGTCCAGACAGCTCATAGGTCATAAGTCAGAGAGTAGATGGTGTAGATCCTTGTTTGCTTTTCCTTGCTTAGGAATTTAGTCAGAAATTCACTGCTGAAAGATTTACTTCTGCAGTAATATTTCAGCCATGGTATATAATTTAAGCTATCCTGTTTACTTAAAAAATATGGTAAAGGTATTTATATTTTTTTAATCTGTTACTCTACTCTTTTCTCAGGTTCGAGCCCCCATGGTTAATCCAACGTTAGGTGTTCATGAAGCTGACCTTTTGAAGACGTCAGGAACACTGATTAGTTTTATTTACCCAGCCCAAAATCCAGACTTGCTAGATAAACTTTCCAAAAGAAAAACTACCATTCTGGCAATGGACCAGGTTCCAAGAGTCACAATTGCTCAGGGATATGACGCGCTGAGCTCCATGGCCAACATTGCTGGGTAGGTTGATTCTTTTCTGTTTCAGTTGAACAAAAGCACACGGTACTACAGAAACATCCTTCTCTCTTAGAGATTGTAGCCTTTGAGAACACAAATCCTTTTTAAGATTCTATCATTTCATAGCCTTCAGATAGGAAATAGCTCTTCATATGACACTGCTGTTCATTCCCTTTTAATCTTCATGTGTGGAAGAAAGTAGTATTTCTTTCCATCAAGGAAAATGATGGCATGATAATTTGCATGAGGAATAGGCTATGTTTTCATATATGTATGTATATGTTTATGAAATTGCCTTTTTTTATCAGTCAAAGTGACTGAATCTGTTGGATGTGGTTCAATTTAGGTTTTACCTAGGTAAATTCATAAATTATTTGGTAAGCAGGGAAAATAAAATGTCTGTACCCAAGGAAGCTTCATTGGTGTCAAGACCCATATTCATAACTGAGGGCTAACTGTGGTCTCTTGATTTCCAGGCCAAGATAGCATAAGCTTTGCCCTCCAGCAGAAATGCATTTCCTATTTTTTGTCCATAGTGCTATTTTGAGAAGGATTCTGTGGTACATTCTGCTCAGAGGAGTGTGGCTATGACTGAGTAGTCATGTATGCCCTGGGGGAGGGATAGGAATAGTTATCTGCTTGCTGTGTTGCTGACTCTACATAATAGTGGGGAAAATGTGAAAATTAGATGATACTATGAAATCATCTCAGTTAATAAACTAGTTGAATTATATTTTAAGCATGAAAAGCATTAGTAGTTGATAACTTGCTAATAAGAATGAGGCATCTACAAATGAAAATATTTAAAAAGTAAAACAGTGCATAAAAAAGATTAACCTGAATAAAATCTTTTGTGGCCTAACACACCAAATGAAAGTTTTTCTTGGTTTTATATCTTAGCTGGAGCATATCAAATACACCATATATGGTACTTTGGGTTTCATCCATTCACATTTGATCTAAGTCAGAAGCCATAAACTAAAATGACAAATTAAAAATACATTTTGTTGTCCTTCAAGTAACATAGCAAATGGTTGGTTGGAGGACATTTTTTGTGGTATAAATAATAGACCAAGGGGCAAAATAAATTGTTGCCATATCTATTTAGTTTGCAGAAGAATTAGGTTATGCAATGTAGGACTTAAAATACTATATAGAAAATGTACAAATTATCCCAGAAATTTACATTGTAGTGCAGATCAATGATAAATAATAAAATTTTATTGAAATTAATAAAATGGCTATTAATAAGAACTACTATTTCAAAAAGGGAAAATGTAGAAAGTAAACTTGTAAGGGTGCTGCTGATTTTGTCATGTGAAATGCACTGAGGTGAAGGGTCATCAAAGACAGTAGCTCCAGATCAATGGTTTTTAGTTGCAGAACCTTGTGAACAAATGAAATACCATGAGGCAATGTAAGTACCCCAATAAAAGCAAGGTGGACTTGGTTGAATTGAGGGATAGAGGGGGTTCAGAAACATGTCTGTTTTCCAGCACCACTGTCACCCCAGAGTTGGCTGGAATTTGAGACTTTTGGGATCTATGGGACTCAAATTAATGAATCGTTATCTTCTGTCCTAAGCTGATATTTGTTTACAAAGGGCATATTTTCAGATAAATCATCTAGTCTCTAAAGCCACACAATGTGTAATAAGTGGTTTTCTGTCTGGCTAATACACACAGCCATAGTGAGAAGCAGTGAAGACACGCTCCTTCCACTTCATTCTTGTTCATTTGGAACTTTTTTACTTTCATCATCAAAAGCCCACTTTTAAGCACTTTTTTTCCCACTATCAACATTTTCTTATACTTTTACTGTGTAATCACTTTTATTATTATTTTTTTCAGTACAATAACTGAATATTTTAAAAACATTTATTCCAGAATTAATTTTGTACAATGACCTTTAGATCCTTATTATTTTGCCCTTTAAAAATTTCAGTCACTCTGAATTTCATTTCAAGGCTAATAGTGTATCACTAAAATCTTACTTTCTTGCTCCACTGTGACTTAAAGAAACAGTGGTAACTGTTACATGCTTTGGTATCAATTGTTGTACATGTTATGCCATGTGTTATTTTATAAAATTATTACTGGGGAAGGTGTTATTGTCAATTTAATATTGCGCAGTTGCATTACATATTTCGAAAGAGTGTATCTTACTAAGAGTGTGTAAGATTGCCTTTTAAGTATGAATGATATGAAAGTGAAATTGTTGTTAAAGATATCCCATTAAAGGAAAGATGGTGTACTTTTACTGGTTTTTATTGCATAGTTTGTTTGGTTAAAAGCCAAGCACTTTTTATTTGCCAAGTACTTATGTGACAGATTTATGGTAAGTGCTTTTCCTGCATCATCTCATTTAGTCCTCACAACAGCACTAAGCGATGGATGTTCTTTTTGTCCCACTTAATAGATGAGGAAACCAAAGATTAGAGAATTAAAGATATGTACCCAACATCACAAAGCTAGTGGTAAAACTGGGACTTGAACTGAGGTTGCTCTTTGTCAGTCTCCTACACTGTCACCCATTTGTGATCAAGGGAAGTGTTTTTTATTTATGTTTTTTATTTATGTATTTTTACATTAGTGTTCATTTTTGTACAAGTTTGATTTCTCCTCTTAGGTGTAATCCCCATAAAATTACCACCACCAAGACACTTGTGAACCATCACCACAGACTCTTGTGCTCTTCCCTCCCTTGTTTTGATCCCTCTCTCTCCCCCTCCCCTGCTAAATGATTCCAGTTTATAGTTTGCTTGCTAGTTTTCTTTCTTTTTTCCTGATCCCTTGTTTTGTTTCCCTATATTCCGCCTATAAGTGAGATCATCCAATATTTTTCTTTTTTCTGCTGACTGCTGACTTATTTCACCGAACAATCCCTTCTAGCTCTATCCATGTTGTTGCAAATGGCACTGAGGGTGAAATCTTATGATGTCAAAGCCTAGAGCTCATTTGATTTTTTATTTTAAAGTTTTTCCCCTCTATTATCATTTGCTACATAGTCATCAACAAAGATTTAGATGATATAATAAATTAAAACAGAGTTTGGGGCCTCCCCTGGTGGCGCAGCAGTTGAGTGCTGGGCTGTGAGGCTGCCCACAGCCTCTGCAGTGCCGGTTCATTCCCCGGCCCCTGGCGAGGGTCCCACAAAAAACAAAAAAAACAAAAAAACAGAGTTTGAAATATCAATAGTTCTAATACCAGAAGAAAGTCTTTGCTGGCCTTTTTTGTCTTTCCTTCATTTATTTTCTTCTTTTTTAATCCTAATTGATCAGCAATATTTTTGAAAAGGCCAGGTTCCATCACAGATGAGAGTGTGCCTCTGTAGGCAGGAGGCCTGGCTTAGACTCTGGCTCTGCCATTTACTCCCAAGTGACCTTGGACAAGTCTCTTCCTATCTGTGTCTCAGTTTCCTCACTTGTTAGGTGAAGATAGTAGTTGTCCCTATCCACAGGATTGTTGTGGAGATTAAAGGAGCAAGTATCCATTCAGCACTAACCACATTTTGACACATAGTAGGTACTCCATAAATGCTGGTTTCTGTTCTTTTACAAAGTTTGGTTGTGGACTTATGATGGTATATGAACCTGAGGTCATTCACTTTATGGGTTTTAACCATTTGCTTATTTATTTTTTAAGTTATAAGGCTGTTGTACTAGCAGCAAATCATTTTGGACGATTTTTCACTGGTCAGATCACAGCTGCTGGAAAAGTTCCTCCTGCAAAGGTAGGCAAAATGCCTAGTGTTTCTTCATAATATGAATTAATTAGAGGAATGTTGTGTATGGTCTGAAAAGAGTTATTTGAAGATTCTTATTATGTATAACTTCACTTTGATGACTTTTGTGATGTACTAACATGTGATCATGGTTCAAAGGGGCTTGAAATTACTTAAAAATAAATTTAGACAGTCTTAAAGTTACCCTGTTTTCTTTCCTTCTGTTTTTGACTTACTAACTTGAATTGCTGGATAACTTGTTCTGCATAGCTTATTTATTACTGACTTTTAAAAAAGCTACAAGATACCATTGAATAAACTCAGTTTTCCAATTATTGTGACACTTTGGTGCAGAGAAAAACATTATCTTGATTTCTTCACTTTTGATCATATTTTGGGTCAAGAAGACAAAGTGAGAGGTGGTATGATCAGGATATTTGGTAGGAGGAAAGGGTACAGTTTATTAACTTTTTATAGAAGTATATATGAAATTGTTTAGTATTTCTCTTTCTTCTGACTTATTTCACTTAGCATAATTTTGTCACATTTCTTCCATGTTGTTGCAAATGCCAAGAATTCATGTTTTTGTTTTTGTTTTTAGTAACTGAGTAGTATTCCATCATGTGTATGTACCAGAGGTGTAGTTATTTTTATCTAGATTGAGAGCAGAGACAAGCAGTTCATGAAAGGTGGACTGGCTAGATGAAAGAATAGATTATGCTGTGACCCTTCAACTCTTCTTATGCTAAATGACAATATAAGCACATGGCCAAGGTATAGGACACTGGACTTTAAATGTTGTCATCTACCTGCTCTATAGAATATGGGTTTATCTGGTGCTTCCTGCTTTTCAGTACCTTATTATTTAAGCCACACAAAATAAATCTCATAGGAAAAAATTAAAAGATTGTAGCAACTCTGAGAAATCTAATTATATTCTGCCTTTTTTTTAAAAGATTTATTTATTTATTTATTATGGTACAGGCCAGAGGTGCAGGGTGTGAGTGGATTCACCAGAGTGGGGAACAGAACAGGCAGACTGACTGAAATGCATTGCTGAGGGGAGCAGTGAACGAGACAGGAGAGGTCTGCTCACTGTGTGGGTAGCTCCCTGGCTGGCCAGGGATCGAACTTGTGCTGCAGAGGCTGTGGATAGCTACACAGTACTATGCTTACCCCTTTGTGCCACCAGGGAGGCCCATATATACTGCCTTAAAAACAGGCAAGAAGGAGAAAATGGCAAGTGGTTTAAGTGGTGGCCAGAATATTCAACAGTACGAGCAGAGAGCACACAGAGAAGTGATGTATAAGGTGGTTACTGAAAGAGTCAGAAATGGTCTGGTTATTATGGTGGTGGAAGTTGGGTGCGGCTCTTAAACTGGCTGAATGCTTTGATGCGCAAACCCACTGCTCAGTTTTGGTTAGAATCTTCCTTGAAGTATGTAGCAGTTGAGAGCAAAGTATAAATATAAGAGATTAAAAAGTAAAAGACAAGGATGGCGCTGGAAGGGATTATGCTCAGCGAAATAAGCCAAAAGAAAAAGAAAAATACCGGATGGTCTCACTCATAGCAGGAACCTAGAAAACTTAAATAAGGGACCAGGAAAATGAATAACTATAAGAAAGTGAAAATCAAAATCAACAAAAAACTATGAACCAGAGACACTTTTAGGGGGGCGGGGTGGGAGGGCAGGGATTGGGGTCAGAATGGGGGGCTGCAATTGTATGGGGAATATAACAATAAAATTTATAAAAAAAAAAAAAAAAAAAAAAAAAGTAAAAGACAAGAGGCTTAAAGGAAGGAGAATCAGCTAGCCTTTAAAAGGTAAAAAGTGACTCTCTTTACTGAGTTTATATTTCAGCTTACCTGACTATAGTTACCTGTCAGAAACAGTTTTCTGATATTGAAGGCATGAGTTGGGCTCAGCTAGGTAGGTTGCCTAATTTATTTAGGTTTCCTTTAAGCATGGAGGATTCTTGTCTAGGATGAGCTAACATCAATCAATGGAAGATGTATCATACTCTGGGCACTGTTCTAGGAGCTGGGATATGGCATGAACAATGCAAACAAGGTCCTTCTCACATGAAACATATTGTAGTAGGGGCCACTGGGAGGAGATAAATAAGCAATTAAATATATGAGGCCATTATAATATAAAAGAAGTGAACAAGGTGTTGTAATACTGGGTTGTGGATGCTAGCTGCTTTAGTTATGGTGATGGGAACGGCTTCTCCCATCCTTCCATGGTTAGAGAGATTGGCTAAGTTGCTTTGGATATCAGATACAGTTTGTTCAAAATGGTTCAGAATTAAGTGGATGGTTACATGCTGTTTCTTTTAGCATTTGTCCTCAAACTAGGGGTTGGAACAGATGTTTCACCAAAGTTGCATCCATTTTGAAACTCATTTTGATATTTTATGAACATAGAAAACTATAGAATTCAAGAGGTGAGAGGTAACTGGAAGCTCACTCTGGGAATTTTCGTAAAAGTAGCATTTATATAGCCAAGACCCTGTTAATCTTTAACATATGGAATGCTGCAAGTGTCTTTCACCCTGAGGTGCTGATTATCAGGCTATTTTGAGTGAAGGTTGCTGACCTTCAGGCTATTTTGAGTGAAGGTTGTTAGCAGATGTCCTTCTGACAAATTTTTAAAACAGTGGCTCAGCTAAAGAGTAGTCTATCTGTTATAGGGCAGCCCCGATATTGAACGGGGTTGCCTGGCTGTGGGTCCTCACCCGTGCGCTTCAAAGGGACTTATTAATACTCAACTACAGACACACACAAAAGGTTAATAAAAGGTTTATTTACAAGGGAAAAGGAAATAAGGAAAATGTACAACTCAGGGAGAAAATATGGAAATAAAGTCTTTAATGCTTCCTATCCGATCTGCCGACCTGGAAACCCAAAAAGCACTCTCAGAGCTGGCCGGACGCTGCGAGCTGGCGGAGAGCCAAAATGGGGGACCCCTCCAAAGCCCACGTGTCTGGCTTTATACCAACCTGGCTGCTTAACCCCACCCTCAGGTCCCAGCCACCTTCCCTTTGGTGGTGATGGGATTTGGAGTTCCCAGTGTCTTTGGCTTTGGTCTGGGGTGGGGGGTGGAGTCCACAAAGCCTGTATGGAATTAGCTTTAGGACAGACATCCTTTTCCCCCTAACATATCCACTTGCAGCATTTATGGAGGGCCAGCCATCTCGGGCACTTGGTGTATTATTGAATGCCGTGTACCAGCTATTGATAGTCATCAGTTGATGATTTTTCGTAGTCAGATGATAACACATTGTTGAAAACACACTGGTTCTGCCTTCTTTCCTAGATTCTGATAATTGGTGGTGGTGTTGCTGGGCTGGCCTCTGCAGGTGCAGCAAAGGCAATGGGTGCAATTGTACGTGGATTTGATACCAGGTGAGTGCTTTTCTAGTGACTGCAGTTAAGGTAAAAGGTTTTGTTTCACTGGTTAGTATGTGCTCCTTAGGGTTTATAAATTGAAGCGGCACATTGGAAACTGCTCTGCAAGCTCTCATTTAAAAGTGTTTCCACTTTTTCAAAGTTAAACACAAAGTGAGAAAGTATTATGTAGCAGGGAAAAAAAAGGACCAAGACTCAGTATAGGGGAAGCAATTCATAAAACAAAAGAATTAAAAACTAACACTTTTGTTTATGTGTGTAGATTAGTAGTAGGACAGTTATCTTTGTCTGGTTTATAATAAATTATTTATTACTTTTTAAAAAAGATTTATGTATGTATACAAGAACTGGGGTGTAGGCCAGAGGTGCAAGGGTTGAGAGGATTCACCAAAGACAAATTGGGGAGCAGAACAGGCAGACTAACTGAAATGTACTGCTGAGGGGAGCAGCAGGTAAGACAGGAGAGGTCTGCTGCACCAACTTGTGGGTCACCTCCCTGGCCGGGGATCAAACTCGAGCTGTAGCAGCTGTGGATTGCTTCATTGTGCTGATGCCCAACCCCTTGCCCCACCAGGGAGGCCCAAGTTTCTAACATATTATTTTACTGTGTTCTATTTCTGTTCAGAAATAGGTAGGGCATGAACAAAGATGTTTGTGAGTGTGAATTAAGAATCTTGGAGAAAGAAACATCTTGGAGAACAGACCGGGAGTTAGGGGTAGTGAGGGACATGCCTGCATGGAATAGTTGGAAGCAGGTTAAACTGAGAGGGCAAAGTAGTCCCCAGAACCTTCAACTTGAGTAGCAACACATGTATTATTATTATCATCATCATCATTGCATTATTATGATAAGATCCCTTCTTTTAATGTAAAGATAGAGTTGAATATATTTCTCTGATAATTTTAGAATCCCTAGGTGAAAGTACTTGTGTGCATTGTGTATTTACTTAGACAGCAATATTTTCCTAGAATTTCTATAAAGAGAAGTTTGATTAAAACCCTTCTTTTCAGGGCCTCCCCCATGGCCCAGCAGTTGAGCGCTGGGTTGCGAGGCTGCCCACAGCCTCTGCAGTGCTGGTTCAATCCCCGGCAAGGGTCCCACATGGCTCGCAGACCTCTTCTGCCGCCTGCTGCTCCCCTCAGCAGTGTACTTCATCACTCTGCCTGCTCTGCTCTCCCCTCTGGCTCTGGTGAATTCTCTCACCCTCCAGCGCTTCTGACTGTACCCAGTGCTAGTATAAATAAATAAATAAATAAATAAATAAATAAATCTTTAAAACAAAAATAAATAAAACCCTTCTTTTCAGAAGACATTGATATTAGATTTCATTAAATTTTTATTGAGCATTATTATCATTTATGTGTTCCAGTACTTTTTTGAGGTTGAAATGTGGTTATTTATTATTAGTTGAGGAATAGGGGAATACTACCAACTTAGTAATCTTTAGTATAGAATGATCAAAAAGTCACCAAAGTTGGAAAGTGTTACTTTTCTGAGTAAAGAATGTTCCATAGAACATTGGACATGACTTGGACTTTAAAGAAGCTATGTACTGATTAAAAAGTTGGCCTGTTTAAATGAGAAAGGCATTAACAAAGTTACCAGGATGAAACCAAGGAGAGCCAGAATTAAGCATGCCATTAGTCCTATCTTTTAATTTTGTATGTTGATGTAAAGTTTTTGAACCCTTCAAGTTTGAAGAAAACAGGTTCTTGAAGTTTTCATTGTAGTAGACAGCATTATATAGTAGAAATGTAAATACTTGACTTAGAGATGATTTGAAATTTGGTGTTGGGTTAACTATTTAGAATTTATTCTTCTATCAGAGTTATTGTTTTATATTGTGTACAGAATAGACAGCTAGAATAGCTGCTGCTTCACTTCATTTTTATTTACAGTTTAGTAATGTTACTCAGGTGTACTATGAAAAAGATGTGGCTGATCTGCTATAATACTTTTCTGAGAATTTATAATCCAATTAGATTAGATTGGAGAACACACTTGATAAATTCTTATTGGAAGAGTGAATGGTATATATTAAGTTATACCTCAAAAATCTTAAATACAATTCATTGCCTTTTGGTATTAAAGGGGTGCAAATTTTAAATTCTTTCAAACAATGACTAGGAATTTTCCCTCCTTACAATAGTGATTATTTTGCTTCATGACTATATTATAAGTGTAGAAATTAAAAGCTTTAATTTTTCTTTTTTTGTACTTATAGCTATATTTACAAAAACAATTGGCATAACAATTTGTTTTTGCCTGTACTAAATGCTTACTCCCTTCCAGGGATTGTACTTTACACCTTACTTTACTTGTAAGGTGTTTTTTTTACAATAACTATATGAACTATGAACAACTAGTCCTATTTTATATAATAATAGGCACTGTGTATCAATTTTATTGTTTATCCGCTTTCTTTCTAATCATAAAAACAGTATATTGCTTATTGCCCCATTTAGAAAAAACATTTAAAAAGTACAAAAAATGAATAAAAAACTCTAAAATCTTAGTGCCTACTATTAACATTTTAGTATATGTTCTTTTTCTCTTTATTAATAATATAATTTCACTATATGTTGATATTATAATTTAACTTATTTAATAAAAAAACCTTAGCAGTAAGTTATCCAATTGGTCATCCAATTATCATACACCTCCTAGCTAGCATTTATTTATTTCTAAAAACTGAATATAGTTGTATATAATTTATATATGTTGACTTCACATTTTTACCACTTATGCCATTTTTAGGTTGCTTTTTCCAAACGCAACTGAATGAGACATGGGGGGAAAAATCAAGCAATTAAAATATTTCTAAGTAAAAGTTGTTGATGTCGGAAGAGTCCCCATAAATCAGAACATTTACAGATGGAAAACATCAACTTGAGTGATATGAATGAAGTTAGACCTTAATGTAGGTTAGACTCGCATTACATTGACAGTGGGGCCATAAGAAACATACCTGGTTACATGAGTTGTCAATAGTAAAATTCCTTTTGCAAATTAACTAAGCAGAAGTTGGAATTTCCTTTAGTGTTTTCCCCCCAAGGAAAAATATCATAAAAGCCCTCCTACCTTTAGACTCCGTGTACTGCATAAGTTTGACCCCAAAGAGATCAAGCCTTGCATCTCTTGAGGTGCCACATCTGCCTTGGCCCCTTGGGTCTATGCATAAAAGAGTTGGCGATGACATTGCCAAGGCACTGGTAATTGGAAGGGTCTGAGAAGGACAGTGAAATGGACCCTGCACAACAGACAGGCCCAGATTGAAGTGTTACCTCAACCTCTGTCATCGTTAAAGCCCTCAAGGAACCAGCAAGAGACACAAAGAAGCAAAAGATCATTAAACACCATAGAAATACCACTTTTGATGAGATTGCTAACATAGTCCGTGATGCAGTCTTGATCTTTAGCTAGAGAACTCTCTGGCACCATCAGAGAGATCCTGGGCACTGCCCAATCTGTGGGCACAATGTCGATGGCCACCACCCTCATGAAATCATGGATGACATGAGCTGCAGTGTGGTGGAGTGCCTCATCATTTAAGAGCTACAGAGGAAATGTTTCAGTAAAGGATCATTTGGCAAAAAGGGTATATGTAAATGCAGATATTGATTTCTGTGTTTGGGACCTAAAATAACTTGTTTTTCCTTATTACCAGAGCTGCAGCTTTGGAGCAGTTCAAATCTCTGGGTGCTGAACCCTTGGAGGTGGATGTGAAGGAATCTGGTGAGGGACAAGGAGGATATGCAAAGGAGATGTCTAAAGAATTCATTGATGCGGAAATGAAGCTCTTTGCTCAACAGTGCAAGGAGGTGGATATCCTGATCAGCACAGCACTTATTCCAGGTACGGTAGGAAGGCTGTGGTTAGTGGTCAGATACTTTACTAATTACATTTTTTTTTTTATTTTAAAAGGACAGGTTTGTTAGGAAAAAGAGAAAGAAAAAAAGAGGTACCAGCATAGTCACAGGTGGGCAGGAGACCTGTGTTTTGCCAATGCCACTAAAAACATTTTAAATTGAGGACACATCATTGGTTAACATTTGAATTTCTTTAACTTAAGATTGACTTTTCTACTTATGAAAGTGCTGGAAAATAAGACATGCGAGGCAGAGAAGACGACTTCACTAAAGCCCTTTCAGATAAAGGGTCACTAATCATTTGGCATATTTTCTTCCAATCTTTTTTTTCCTGTGTATTTTTACATAACTGTGTTTATCAGCCATATTCTGTGTACAACTCATAAGCAATTTTCTCTGTTTACACTCTTTTTAAGTTGACTTTTAATTCATTTCTGTTCTCATTGTTCAGATACAACATTCAAATTTTTGTACTGAAAATGTGAAGGAAAAAGTACAGGTCATCTGGAATTCTACCAGAGATTACCATTAGTAGTATTTTGATGATCATTTTTCTTAACATGACAAAGAAAGGGCTACTTTGTGTGTGTGTATTTACAGAATTTCCAGTGTATATTTCTCAATGATATGACACATCACTAACTATTTCCTTTGACATGTTTGACCTTTGCAAACAAATTGTGAGCAGTTTGATGGCAAGAACTACTTTTCAATCCCTTTATAGCTTCCTCTGCTAAAAAAATATTTTTCACTTAGTGGATGATTGATATTAAACCAGTAAGTACTTACTAATCAGTGGCTTGATCTTACAGGGTTTATGTGTTGGATCTTACTAAAGGATCTGGGGGACTGAACAGTTATGAAAAGTTGCTTTGTCATGAGGTGGTAGAACAGGAAAGTTTTCTACTGGCTTCCCTCCTCCCCCCCCTCAACTCCCCAGATCTCATTAATATAAGCCCAAGGGCAGCCCAAGGAAGTTAATTGGCATTATATCCTTGAGCTTGTAGGGGAAACATGACTGCAGGTCTTTGTTTCTGGCCTCTGTTTACTCAGGTGGTACTTGATAGGGGAACTGGTCTTGATAGGTGAAGTAGGTCTCTCCACACACTTCTCCCCTCACCAGAACTGTCTGGGTGAAGCAGAGAGACGGAAGGGTGAGAGGAGATAAGACCATAAGTAGAAATGAAGCCAGGGTGCATACAAGTCAGGTGAGCCCATGCACCAGGATGACACGTGAACAGACAGTGGCTGGAGAACTCGTCAAGGTCCTTCCTTTCCTTTTATGGCAGTGGCTCCTGGTTCAGCTTTGAAGAAAGGGTGGCCTAATGCTGTAGCCACTATCTGACCTTTGAAAGATTAGCGAGCAGCATCTTGGTGAAAGGAGCCGTTTACTGACTGAATGCAGCAAATGGCCAGCAGAGGGCGCTAAAACATTTACTCACAGGAATAAGTGGTGCGACTCGAGCTCCTTTTGCTCATGTCAGTCTCTTAACAAAGAACTGAGGGTAATTTGACAGTGTATAGAATTATTATTATTATTATTTAAGATTTAATTTATTTATTTATACAAGCACTGGGTACAGTCAGAAGCGCAGGAGGGTGAGAGAATTCACCAGAGCCAGTGCAGGGAGCAGAGCAGGCAGACTGACGAAGTACACTGCTGAGGGGAGCAGCGGGCAGCAGGAGAAGTCTGTGTGCCATGTGGGACCCTGGCCGGCGGCTGGGGATTGAACCGGTGCTGCAGAGGCTGTGGGTGGCTTCGTAGCCCAACGCTCAACCGCTGCGCCACCGGGGAGGCCCTGTATAGAGAATTATTAATGATTATAAAGCTCAAAGTGAATGATAGAATGCAAGCAAAGCTTCTTGTATAAAACACATACTATGTACTTTAGAAAAAAAATATTATGTATATTCTTTAAAAAGACATGTTAAAGAATTTTTATTGATCTGCTACAGAGTCTTCATTATTCAACCTTTTCTGAAGCTATGATCTACTTCACAGCCTGTTAAACTTGGCACAGTCTCTGACTGGTGGATCAGCCCAGAATTCATACTTAGAAGGCTTTCTGAAAAGGACCTTCCTGTTATTTTTTTAAACCTAAATAAATAAATGGGAAAGGTTAATTAGAATATTATAAGGGGCCTCCCTGGTGGCGCAAGGGGTTGAGACACAACCTATGAAGCTGTCCTCAGCCTCTGCAGTGCAAGTTCGATCCCTGGCCAGCCAGGGAGCTACCCACATGGTGCGCAGACCTCTCCTGACTCGCCTACTGCTCCCCTCAGCAGTGTACTTCGGTCAATCTGCCTGTTCTGTTCCCCACTCTGTCTCTGGTGAATCCTCTTACCCCCACCCCCCACACCTCTGGCTTGTACCCCCGATCTTGTATGCATAAATAAATAAACCTTTAAAAATAGAATATTATAAGGATGAAGATGATCTTTCCAAAGATCTTTCATACTCCTGGGGGACTGAAATCTGAAAACATGAATATTTACAAACAATTGAGAAGATTATATAAATGTATAGCTACTCTCTAAAAGCTGTGTCCTCACCATTGCACCTTTATTGGCTTCTGTCCTCAACCTTATCATGAATCACTTGATGGTGTGTCCAGCTTCTGAAAGACTTTCAGAGCAGACATTATTCTAAAGTTTTCCTTGAGCGTCTCCAAAGAGAATTAAGGAAAATATCAGGAGTTCTCTAAGATGAGACTTCTTAGAACAAGGTGTGGCAGGGATGAGAACTTTGAGAGAGGGACACAATTAGCTGGTTTCAGGTAGCATCCTGTGAAGTTGGTAAACTTTTGTTCCTCTCAGGTACATATCAGTGGATGGGCTTTTAAAAGCAATAATGTTGAGCTCAGATAGGGTTTACTATGCTGCCTGATAGCTTGCACCATATGCTTTAGCATCATCTCCAACCCTCTTTTTTTTTTAAAAAAAAGATTTTATTTATTTATTTATTTATTCAAGCACTGGGTACAGTCAGAAGCGCGGGAGGGTGAGAGAATTCACCAGAGCCAGAGCGGGGAGCAGAGAGCAGAGCAGGCAGAAGGACCGAAGTACACTGCTGTGGGGAGCAGCAGGCTGCAGGAGAGGTCTGCGCTGGGACCCTCCTCCGGTGGCCAGGGAGCAGCTGGGGATCGAACCGGCGCTGCAGAGGCTGCGGGCAGCTTCGCAACCCAGCGCTCAACTGCTGCGCCACCGGGGACGCCCATCTCCAACCCTCTTGATTGGCTTGGGTGATGGAGTCAAAGCTAGAGTTGCACTTACTGTGGAAGGCCTCAGGTGAGGGCCTGACTGACAGCCTTGTTTTTTAGTGGTGCTTTGCATACTACGGAAAGCACCCATGCTTCCATTCTTTGACCTTTGGGGTCACCATTCAAAAGCAAGGCAACACTGCCCCTGGTTAGTTCAGTCTGTGCTGAGAATTTTTTTGCTAAACCTTTGGAGGCAGACAGATTTTTCAGCATCCCTATTGCTCTGGAACCCTTTTAGAGGGACTTTTCATATTCCTTGAATATTTAATCAGGAGAAGACAGAATGAGGTTGAAAATCTGATTAAGTTTAGGGAGGGTTGGGGTGAGGTAGGGAAGGATCATAGTGGTTTAACATTAACATGACATTGTTAGGCAAATTTCACCTACATTCCAGCGAGAATTAAGAGTACCTTAAGGACAAGTTCAGCCTTCCCTGACAGAAACAATCTCTATTTAAAACCTTTCCTGGTGACCATCTAGTTACAAAATCATCAGCACCTTTGGGTCATCTAGCTCTCCTCTCTCACCTTCCCCACCTCACGTCTTGCTCTCGCTTTGTAGTTGAACCAGAGCTACTGGAAAGCCTGGGGTTTTGGTTCAGTAATGAGGACAGTATCTTGGAGCACCCGGACTCCCAGCATGAGATCCAGGTATCTGAACTGATCAGGGTTGGATCTTTGGGATCATTTTCCCCTCCCTCTCCCACACTCCCTATGCTTAAAAAGTTTGTGCTCCTTGGTAAGAGATTCTCATTTCTAATCCTGATGTAACTTTCAAATCTCCTGTTCAACTAATCTTACTCTATGTGGACTTGATTTCAATCCTACTGGCTGCTTTTAGCTCCTGAAGTAGGTCAAGGCCTTTCAGGCCTTTGCACTTATTGCTCCTTCCCTTTGGAATGCCATCTCTGCCCTTCCTGTCCTGTGAAATCCTACTCAACTCAGTTACTACTTCCACTGTCCTTCCTGCTATCTCCTACTTAGTAGCAAACACTCTTTTTTTGGCATTCATAGTCCAGTCCCCCTTGCCTGTTCCTCTTACTCCAGTTCTCAGCCTCCTTGGCCCCCAGTTGCCCCCTAATTGTCCTCCTTGCCTCCCACATGCAGTGTGAGGGCCAGCTTGTGTCTGTCAGGGTAGAGCTCAGCACGGCGCCGTGTCCACAGTGGTGGCCCAGCACATGCTGTTCAGCTGTATTTTGATTTTGGGGCCTTCCTTCGGGCCCAGTTGGTACAAACCCTTTTATTTTTCCAGTGCTATCCAAGGAAAGATAAGAAAGAACACTCTGTCGACTCACTTTTGGATAGGGGCCCTGCAGAAGCTAATTTGAGTCTGGGAACCTAGCTTTCTTAAAATTTCAAAACTAGGACACATGCCCAGTTTGCAATATGAGGTGGTTCTATCTCTTAGGAGACAGAATTAGCAAGTGGTGGAAGGTCTCTTCAGGGGTTAGTGTCCTGCCAGCCAGGAAGGAAGCTTTTCATTGCTTGATTATAAACTCTAGTTTCTTAACCATATGTACTTGGGCCTCTTTTTAGGCACAATCCAAATGAGGGTAACAGTACTATTTATTTTGATCTCTACCTACCTGTTAGCATCTGTAGAATACTTGTAATTATACATGAGATCTCCCCTCCCCGGAGAATCAGGAGTGTGTGTTTATCCTGATATACCAGGCCTTGCACATAGGAGACCAGACCCACATTCCCCTGGTCGTCAGCCTTGGCTT